CACACATACTCTGAATATCAGAAAACAGCCACATTATAGGTTATAACTCCATGGACTTCATAATGCTATTCGAGAAACACACTGAAGTCGAAGCACCACATCACCCTTATGTCACCAAATCATTTAAGCACTCTACAACACGCAACCATAAATGCTGGTGCACCCTCACACCATACTCCCTAACGCAAGTTACAACTAACATAAAAACAGCATTAGGAGACACTGACACATAAAACCAACGGTGATCTTACTAACACGCAAACAGGATGCAAAGGCAAACCTCCTAATGTCCTTTCTTAGTATATCAACGAGAGATAATAACCTGTTCCTTATACAATCGTGTTCATGGCTCTTTCGACTTGTTATATGGTATTATGAACTATTCGTAGCGACACACCTAAGGAATGGGACAACCAGAGTGAGGGAAGCACATATCCATTAACAGTAATCTCAGAAGGGGCGGAGCAAAGGAAATAGTAAAAGTAAAAGAAAAAAATAAAATAAAATAAGGAGACGGAGTGAGAAAGGTATGAGAGAGGGAATTAAATATAAGAAGTTAGCAGATTAATGGAATGAGAAAATGATGAAAGAGAAAAATATAGAACGCATACTAGAGACAATTTTGCTTTTAATGTTTATTTTTTCATTTCATAAGTTATGTAATTATTAAGTCATTATGGTGCTTTAAGTAATTAGGTGCTATTCCCAATTAGTGTACATTTTTCGGCATTATTCGTTAGTGATAGTACGAATTGTTGATTGTAATAAATTGTGTATGAAAGCAAAATTAATAAACAAGCATTTTTTTTCTAAGAAATACCTTTTTTCATCCTCTTTTAATTCATGTCTGAATATGAATAAATTACACGTCATTCCAGGGTATTACGCGAATTTTCAACAAACTACCCAGAAGATATATGTCATTCTTGAAGTAATTCCTGCATAATGCCATTTAATATGGAGAGATTTGGGAAAGATGGAATTCCAGAGATCATAACTCATGCTCCATTTTAAACTTATACCTTAGTTAAACTTTTACCTCAGCTCTCATGATTTCTACAGCAGTATTTCCCAAAGTACGTGAATTGCTAGAATAAAATGAACAATATCAAATGAACGAAGGAGATGAAGAAAGAAAAACGAAACAGTTTCAGTTCGAATGGAATGATTTGAACAATGAGCTAAAGACGTTCTGGAATATCGTTAGGCTATCACAATAAATTAATAAATAAATGAATAAATAAAAGAAGAAAAAGCAAACAAACTGGGCAGTGATAGGCATGGTTTGGCGAACACAACTATGTCTTTTTTTCTATTTACAAGATTCTTCCGTATTAGACTCAACTGAACCGTATTCATGTTAACATATATACAAAAAAGTATGAATGAGAATAGATCTCTTCACAATACAATGTATATGATGTATATGACCGGTTTCGATGATATATACATGTATTTCTGACGAAGATATGTGTCATTTTTGAAGTAAATTCCTGCATAATGCTATTTAATCATGGAGAGATTAGGGAAAGATGGAATTCCACTGCTCAAACATGCTCCATTTTAAAACTTACACCTTAGCTCTCATGATTTCTACAAGCAGGAGAAGGAGATTTATTCTGACAAATACATCTCTTGTATTGGGAAGATATTCATTCTCATTCATACTTTTTTACATTCAACTTTCACCCAACTTCCTGAAAACGTCCCCACATATAGCTTTATGGAAACCGCCGTGGCTCATAGACATTAATTATTTTAGTAAGAACAAATAAACATACCTTCTGACATGGTAAATTGAGAGAGAAAAAAAAAAAACGGGGACACACCATTAAACATATTATAAGTAAGATGTAAGATAGATTCCTATTATCCAATAATCAAAACGATTTTTTTTTTCAATTTTCTCTTTTACGAAGAAATAGGTGGTTATACAGTACAAAAGGACAACTTTACAAGATAAAATCTTAAATCTTGAAAGGACTATGTAATCTTAAGGAAATAGATAATCAGTGATATAAAATTCGGTTATCTGATTCACTTTTATTCTCCAGACTCCACAGAATATATTTTAACCATATGTGTTCAGTAACTCGCTTGTTTAAAACTTGTCCGCATGATAATTCCAACTACTGAAATGTTAAAAAAAAATATATATAAAATTATTTAATGATTTTGACCCCATTACTCGTTGTTCTTACATGCGGTATATCATATAGTTATAAATACGTCGCCAAAAAGGTGTCTCATAAATCTGTAGCAAAGATTATATACTACGAAAGATAGGAAATATAGGTGATCGCAACGCCTCTATCGGGAAAGTTTGTAATTCGCGATAACGTGACCTATAATTCGATACATCAAGGTTGTGTAGTAGATCTTTCTTCTCTCTCTTTATACAACAATATATATGTATGTATATATGTATGTATGTATATGTATATGTATATATATATATATATATATATATATATATATATATATATATTCCATATGCATATAATGTACATAAGGTTTGCAATTAAAGAAAGTTATTTTCTATTTACAGCGCAACCTTATTTATATTCATAAATGAATACGATGCCGAATACTATTAATTAAGATGTCTCCATAATATGAACTAATTTTCCCGAATTCGTAATCCATCTGACAGAGTAAAATGGTTAACAAAAACAATATATTTACACAATAGATTTCTTTATTTCATAGTCAAACGCTATTGTGCATAGCAATGTGATATACAAAATACAAATACAAAAACAATGAAAAGTATAAACAGAATAAAACATTACACAAACAGAGGACAAATACATCTCTACCAAAATATATAAACAAAACATGCATTTAATGGTAGGCCTATGTATATAATTTCATAATTCAGCACAGAGTGTTATGAATATGACAAAGTATGAGGTTAAGATAGTCATCATGCACAGCTGATGTTAAAAGCAGCTATAGGAACAGTCATGCAAAAGCCATGCATTAAAAAAAAAAAAAAAAAAAAAGCAACATGCTATTGTAACAAAACTTTTGCAACTGATATTTAAAGCAGAGAGACGGAGAAATAACTGTTACAACACCCCATGAACTAAAGTACATCAACGGTGCACTGATACAAACAAATAAAAAAAATGCAGAAAAAATATAAACATAATTACTAGAGAGCTCAACAAAAATCATATATGTTGAAATAAAGCAAAAACATGGATCATACACAATCAAGCAATGTACTGTAAGAGTATACATACCAAAGCGGCCACTTGCAAATTGAACTGAAAAAAGTTATAAATGGCATGTTTTAGCTAATTTCCTATTTTTCCTCAATGCTCCTTGCAAATATACACCTTTCTCTTTTTTACCTCTTAAATCTTTATTGATAAATTTTTAAACTACAATTTCATTTTGTGTAAATATCTCTAATATCTTTTTGTACTTCCTTACACAAAACTATACTGAGGACTCTCACGTCTGACAGACCATTTCTAAATGACTGCAAAACATTACTCTAGTATATGTTTGGTTTAATATTGTCATTGAAAAAAAAATTATTCCTGTATCTGTTAAATAAAGACTTAGTGTCTGTTCATAAGAGTACCGCCTTGCTTCATCTGTAATGTGTGAATATTGTAATTGTGCTTTGAAAAAACTAAGCATAGTTGTTCAAGTACTTTGATGCCATATCGATAATCTCTGATGGTAAAACATTGTTTTTTGTTGAAAAGTGCACCTTGCTTTAACACATCTACTTTCCTGAGAAGTCTTTTCACTCTTGTCCTATACCCGTGAAGTAATTTTGATGAAGTTTTACCTTTCCTCTTTCTCGAATTTGTTTGGAGGTCAGGATTTCCATCAGGGTCTGAATTCTGAATACAGTAACAGAATGGAAAGATATAACCATCAGGAATGAAGGAAACATTATGGAAAATACATGAAAAGAATAAATCAATGACTAACATAATTATATATAAATATAAATATATATATATAATATATATATATATATATATATATATATATATATATATATATATATATATATATATATATATATATATATATATATATATATAATATATATAATATATATATATATATATTATATATATATATATATATATATATATTATATATATATATATATATATATATATATATATATATATATTATACACACTTTTTTAAGCTTTACAGGACAATATTTCCTTATCTGTCTTTTTGTGCATGAAAAGATTAAGGGGAAAAAGGTAAAGAAAAGTATGAACTGAGACAATTTTAAAGCTATATATAGGAAAGGGAATAATATTTGCCATGTCTTCCTTACACCCATTGGAGTAAATAGCCTTACATATAAAGATCAATCAAATCATCAAAAATAATAGTAATAGTAAAAGTAATATTCGCTATGCAATAAATTTCATTTTTTTTATCCATGTAATAACATATGTACATTCACAAATAACTGATTTTATAAATAACAGAAAAGTATCAATCTAATCAATAATGTATTTTATGAATCATAGTTCTATAACTTTGTGTCAAAATATATTGCAGCACATTTGTTCAGTCATGATAGTATATTCTCTTACCTGGACAAGGAGGTATAGATGGTTGAACCTTTTCATAATTGTTTGATGTTACACTTATTTCCTCTTCTGATGAGTGGCCTGGTAAGTCTGATGGTATTCCTGCAATATGGTAATTATGATACCTGTTGCTTTTATTAATCATTTAAGATTTTCAATAAATCAATTTGCTATTTCATGTATAGGCATTTAAAGATAAGATTATGCTTTCATCAAAAGTTACTGACTGGGGTTGTGGTGGTTTTGCTGTAAATTGCAATTTTGTATATCAATTTCATTTATATATTATGTTTTTGAATATGCTAATATTTATACAATATACCGGTTTAAAATAATTTGTTTAGGTATGATATTATATATAATGCATGACAAAAAGTACACAGACACTGAAGGAAAAATAAGTTAAATACTGAAGAAATATAAATACCAAAGTAAAATGTGTTCCATGAGCTGTTGCCATCACTCCCAGAATCATTTCCCATTGTGCAGCTTCCTGATGCTTCTTCTGTTAAATATGTCTCTATCAATATGCATAAATTTTGTCTTATATATTGGCATACACAGTAATTTTCAAAATACTCTTTAGAATGGTAATTTTTATTGTGTGCAAGGCTAGCTGTTCACATATGTGTACAAAGATATTTCAAGAAAATAGCCTACTTTAAAAATGTCACTTTATTACAGCTTAAAAGCACCAGAAATCTAACCTGCATTACTCTAATAATACAAATTATCCAAATTGTTAAAGTAATTTTATAACGAGCTTAGATGATTATGTTTAAGTAGCCATGTTAATGTTAGCAAACTGATACATTACACTGCATGATGCTAAAATGGTAATAGTATATAACATTACTGCATACTTATTATTTAAGAAATGCATATAGATGGGAAGAGCAATTCTTGTAGAACTATAAACAATTGAAAAAAAGAGTGGCCACAAAAAATGATTGTCCTGGGGCTTTAGATTCTGCTTCTGTAGCTCATGATAAAAGTCTTACCCTGTGGTTAGGTTGATGTCTCAAACTTTACATATTCCTAGACATATACATCTTATCATGGCAGAACATAACTGCTAAGGAAATATGGTAATCTTAAAAACCCTTACATGGTAATTTTCTCATGGTCATATATCATTTCTCCTCATTTCTGATTTTTTCTTTAATGAATGATATTCTAGACTTTGCTTGTCCCATCTAGATGCTTTTATTTGATATTTAGAAATATGGTCGTATTCTCAAGTTTTAGGATTAATATTACTCACCACACATATTTTGATCTGGGATGGCAACCTTTAATAGTTTATTTCCTTGGTAGTTTTTCAAAGAAAAATGAGAGCTGCAGATCCTGTAGGTTTTATTCAATTGTGGTGGACTTATATTCTTCAAATATTTGCCATCTGGATGATCTTGAAGACTGCTAATCCATTTGTAACACCTGTAAACACTGGTAATATCAGCCATAAAGCTACTTTATATAGCCTACGATTTCTCGAACAGCCTGTTTCACTAATATGTTGTTTTTTTCACTTGCAATGCTGGACTATTTATGCTCTCACCAGACTATTTATGCTCTCACCAGACTATTTATGCTCTCACCAGACTATTTATGCTCTCACCAGACTATTTATGCTCTCACCAGATTATTTATACTCTTACCTATCTTCATATTTGGGGAAGCGATGAAAAATGATTGCGGGATTTCTTTGTTTCTTCCTATTGCAAAGAAAGCAAGGTTGCAATTCACACATGTTTTCTTCCTATTGCAAAGAAAGCAAGGTTGCAATTCACTCATGTTTTCTTCCTATTGCAAAGAAAGCAAGAGTGCAATTCACTCATGTTTTCTTCCCATTGCAAAGAAAGCAAGGTTGCAATTCACTCACGTTGTCCATCTGTCAAATCTTGCGCCGCCGAGGGAAGTGTAAACAAGCAGACGACACGGGAATCGCGTACAGGTGGCGCCATCTATTGAGCCGACCTCTGGGATGGACATCAACCTCACACGAAATTCATCAACCTCACACGAAATTTGTAGTATATAATCTTCGTAGTATATAGTATATAATCTTTGTCTGTAGTAGCTCGCGTTCCTGTCTTTGGTAGTATATAATCTTCGTAGTATATAGTATATAAATCTTTGTCTGTAGTAGCTCGCGTTCCTGTCTTTCGTAGTATATAATCTTCGTAGTATATAGTATATAATCTTTGTCTGTAGTAGCCCGCGTTCCTGTCTTTCGTAGTATATAATCTTCGTAGTATATAGTATATAATCTTTGTCTGTAGTCCCGAAATTCAAACAAACAAACAAATAAAAAGGATGCCAACTAGTTAATACAAAATACCACGTTTGGCGCGGGAGCAAAATGTTCTTAAATGAGACTGCAGATGCTCCCTTGATGAATGGGAAACAGTATATAGCATAAAGGAGAAACAGTTTATTGTAGGCTATAAAGTAAAAATGATGAGAAACAGTTTATAGCATAAAGGATGAGCAACAGTTTATTGTATATAGTAATAAAAAAATAAAAAAAAATGAGAAACAGTTTATAACATAAAGGAGGATAACAGTTTATTATATAGATTAAAAAGGATGAGACAGTTTACAGCATAAAGGAGGAGAAACAGATTATTGTATATAGTAAAAAAAATGAGAAGCAGTTCATAGCATAAAGGAAGGGAAACAGTCTATTGTATATTGTAAAAAGGATGAGAGAGTATGTAGTATATAGCACCTCCTCCTTGTCTCCCCTCCCTCCCTTTCTCTGTCTTTCCGAGAGTTATAAGAGGCATTGTGAAGTAGTACCAATGAAGTGCATTTGCAGGTAAATTTAAAGGTGAGTCCACACCAGTGACATGTTGCTTGGAGACAAATTGGAAACATTATGGTGGACACAAGAGGAGAGGACACAAAAGGAGAC